GGAGAGCCTGGGACATCTTCCCTTAGCTGAGCTGGAACTGAGGAAGGGAATTTCATGCTTTGCTCCTGCACCTTATCTTTTCCATTCTGAGATAACTTTCCTGCTCCTCTCTATAATTGACGAGAAGCCTGGAGAAACGCCTTAACAGCAGCAAGTCAGAGACCATCGGCCTTGCCTTAGGGAGTCAGGGAGGTGTTGGGAAAGAGAGGGGGAGATGCTGGATGGGAGACTCATGGCAGTTTTGGTTGGAAGGGTCCTCTGCAGGGCTCTAGTCCCTCGTAGTGGGACCATCACCAGCACTGGACCAGGACAGCCCTGGCTTTACCATGCTGAGTCCTGAAGACCTCCTGGGATGCTCTCTGGGTAACCCCTTTCAGTGCTGCGCCACACTGGGCTTGCTTATTAAGAGCTAGAGCAAATAATCATGGTGGGAAATTTCCAGAAATATCTTTTTTTCCTGCGGGAAAACGCTGATTCACTCAAACAAGGTGTTGGGCTGATCTGGATCCACGTAGCTGGAGCTTCAGACCTGGAGGTTGCTTGGGGGACCGGCACACACTCAGAGATCTGGCTGCCGAGATGCTCGGCTTGAGCTCGTAATCCCTGGGCTGTTGGACACTCTGCTGCAATGTCACCTCTGTTGGGTGTTGCCACCCCACCTTTCCCTGGGAGAAAGTCTCAAAAATGGCATTGTGTTTCAAGAAAGGCAGGTAGAGACAAAGAAAAGCTTTGAACCAATGGAAAAGGAGCAGAAAGTCAGTACCGGGACAACTCTGATAAAAGCCCATCCACTGGATAATCTGCAATCAGGGACATGGCGGGGCAGAGAGGTGACTTCCCAGGGATCCTCGTTAACTCAGGCGCTCATCAAGCTGCTTGCTCACATTTTAACGTTGGGTGGGGTTTTGGGGGGAGAAATGTATTTCTCTCTGGAGTACGCAGGAGGCACAGCAATTACTCTGGGCAGCCTCCTCCTCTTGTTGGTCATGCGGCGGTAATTACTCTCTGGGCAAATTCACTTAATTAAGCCCACTGAGGAGATGCTCTCGCAGCATGGTTGTTGCTCTTTAAATTCCCACGTACGAGAAAGGAGTATCACGCTTTGAGGACTTTTCTTTTTCTTTGAAATAGTTGGATGTGAACCAGCAGGGAAAACTATTTCCCTATTGCCAATATGTTTATCTGGTCAAATTATCCCAGTGTATTTAAATGGTGATGGGTGGTGAGCAATAAACAGTCCTTTTTGTGGCCAAATTAGTTTATGGCTTGGACTGTAATTTTTCAGAAGATGCTCTAGGTTGAAAGCTGAGCTCTCGTGTTTGGCTCATATTTCTGTCAGAGAAATGAGGTCCCAAGTGGCAAATGGAGGATCTCCAAAGTCTGTCTTTGCCTTGGAAAGAAGCCTCAAAGGGCGCACATCCCCAGCAAGATTAGGGATGCAAGGTTGTGCTGCTGCACGTTACAGCTTCATTGGTTGGAAACAGAGAAAAAGGCCTGAAACCAAAAAGACTTGGATTTTCTTGATTTTTTCTACTTTGAAAGAAAGACTTTTGTTTTGGAAAGAGATCAGATGTGGCCTCTACTATGCAGAAATGTATAACACAGAAGTCTAATGATTTCTTCATTTAAAGTTTCACTTGAACGTTATTATATTCTGCTTAGTTAGTTGGGTTATGGCTTCAATAAGTTCTTTAATTATTCATACTATTATGTAAGAATGCTTAAAATTAAAAGCTAATTCACAGCCAAGTGTTCTGGTAGCTGAAAGTTTTGGGGTTTTTTTCTGAAAAAATGAGAACAACTTGTTGCAATTTTTCTTTTTAGTTTATTGTGGCTTACAAGAATGTTGAATATTTGGCAGCTGAAAAAAAATTAGTAACTAATGCTCACCTAAATGTTGTCATGTCGAAGGGCTTTGTGATATGTGACCGCTCCAAAAATATCCTCTGAAGGGCAGCGCTGGGATGAAGGGTTAGGGACGGCGAGGGTATTTGTGGGGAGCCACCACCTCCCGTTTCATGAGGCTTGAAACCCAGAAAAATCCTGCTAGCCCAACCCATGGGGTGGTTAGTTACTAAAGCATTAAACTACCAGAGCAGCTTGTAAATTGTTTTGTAGCTGGGTGTTGCACGTCCCTTGCATTGCGTGTTCAGCTGTGCAGCACCCACGTTGGGGAACAAACCCCCCCCTGTAACACGGATGGGGACGTGGCTGCGTGTCAGCCATGTCCCGACGGGCATGCTCCTGCGGGATGGAAACATCCTAGGAAATGCCATGGGTCGTGCCCAAGTACCCATTGATTTCTCCTTACAAATTTTAATCTGAAAATTATAATATTTTTTATTGTCAGCTTATGACTTCAGTAATTTCTTTACTTAGGTTTCTTCTTAATGCAACATGGCTTAAAATTAAAAGCAGCTTCTCAGCCAAGTGAACATTCAAGCACAATTAAGTTAAATAATATGATGGCAGGATGTGAGGAAATAAAAGACCATTTTTGGCAGCAGCAGGTCAATTATTACAATGCAAAACCACGTGGAATACAATAATAGATTTTTTTTTTTCTCAGTAACGTGCCCTAGCTGTAAACCCGTAACCACTTCAGTAGGTGTTTATAAACACTAACTGGCTTCTGAAAAATATTATTTAAGCACTTTGTTGGTGATACTGATGCAAAAACTACTCCTGTGCGTGTGCCTGAGAGTATCGGTTGACTTCCCAGGCTCTGTACTGGCGAGAGCTTTGACGGAAGATGGACCGTGGTCCTCGAGCAGGCATGGGGCTGTGCCGGTGTTGGAAATGCATCTTCTGGGTTTCTTCCCCCACCTGAATTTTCTCTGCCTGTGAATTGCTGAGGGTCCATGTTAGCAATGACATGCTGCCAAAGCGCTGTGGACTATTCGGTCAGGAGTCAGCTCTTTTGGGTAGCGTTGCGGATCTGCATATTCAGTGGATTTGGGCACAAGAACGACAAGTCAGGGAAATTGAGCTTGCAGCATCCCTGGGGGGGTTTGTAGGATTCAGTGAAGTAATTCCAGGGTTTGAGAAAGATCATCAATCTCCAAGGGAATTAAGATAAAGTAGTGTGAAAGCTCATTTTGCAGAGAGAGATGCATGTGCCGCCCACACCTCCGGCTGAAGCTTGTGCCAGCGTGTTTGCTGCCGGCAGCTGCCACACCGAAGGTGTCTGAGATGAGAGATGACTTTTTTATACCGCAGCAGACATCAGTTACCCAAAAAGGTGTGTGTGATTCAGTAACATGTGCTTTTACAGCATGAGGCAGGTGGGGTGGCACCTTTCTGGCAGCCACCATCTCATGGGATCAAGGTGTTCATGTTTGCCTCCAGCGCCCGGCAGCTCCCACAGCTCAGGAGTGGCAGTGAAGGGGTCCCCAGTACCGTCACCTGGGGCTCTGACCAGAGTGGTACTGGGTCCCCAGTACCGTCACCTGGGGCTCTGCTTTTGGGGAGAACCCGGGCACGGGTGGCACTGTGAATTTGGGGAATTTCCTCCCCAGATATCACCATTTGGGGAATTTCCTCCCCAGATATCACCAGCGCACACATGTGTTTCTGCTTAGCTGTAGCGCACCTGGCTAACGCGCCTAGGGGATGAAATGCATCTAGTGAGAGGCCAGCAGGGTCCCCAAGCTGCAGAAACTTGCATCTTCTCAGGCAGAGCCTAAATAGAAAGAAAAAATTTATATTAGTGTCTCTGCTAAAGCAGAATCTCTCTTGATAATGCTGTTTGAGTGGGAAGTGCAGCCTGTGCCCCGTCCCGCTGTCCCGCACAGCCCAGCGAGGCTGCTCTGCTCACACGGGGTCTGAGCCTGCTGCAGAAGACGGAAGAAGATTTCAGCAGAGATGAGATTGTCTTGGGTACTTCAGCTTGCTGCAAAGGCACCGCACTTTGTGTTGTGAATCCTCGATGATAGGGTTCAAGCATAGCCTTGGTAGTGAAGAGCAATCCCAAATCAATGCTTTCCCACCATGCATCATCCCTTCAGAAGGATATCGCATCCCAAGAGAGGGCCAGCAGCAAGTGAAAGCTTCAGGTCATGGAGATAGGGAAGAGCCCAGGTCCTGCGGGGCTCGGGCAGGGCACGGGCAAGCGGTCGGGAGGATTTCGGGGTTGGGGACAGGGCTGCGGGAGGATGCTGCTAATGAAAGCGGTATTGAAAACATCCCTTTCCCTAATCCACTTACGTGGACAGGTCAGACAGAGCAGGGATGAGTTTAGTTAAAGAAATAGCTTTCCAGGACGTAAATGGATTGATAAAATATAATTCTATTAAGAGATCATTCCACTGCTTGAATGGCACTAATAATTGTGTGGGAATGTGAGGCACAAAGAGATTAGCAGCAATCTTTATTTCCCGAGCAGGTTGTCTGTTGAGGTGTCGTTACGTAAACTAAACGTTCGTGTATTAAGAAGTAATTGTGCAATTTTGTCCGGAGGGAGTCCCGGGCGGGAACTGTGCACAGCCCCGTGGATGCTTCGCAGGGGCAGAACCGGCAGAATTGATCCATCTAGAAAAGTAAATTTTGCAAAATTTTATTCTGAGCAAATGGGAACAAACACATTCCTGTGCTGCGTCGGGTGCCTCACTGGGGTGTTGCCAGGGTGGATATTTGGGAGGAAGGCAGAGGAGCTGCTGTGCCGGCTCCCCCATAGGCACAGGTCCACCCTCGGGGGGGATGCACAAGTCCCCATTTTCCCCTCGGGGAATATCCAAAATAACGTGTGAACCCATCCCAACTGCGCAGACGCTGAAGAGGTGTGTGGATGCCCTGAGTGGCACCAGCCATTGCCTTCTCCTTAGGCTGTCCCCACCGGTGCCTGGGGGATGCTGAGGGGGTGGGTGACGTTGCAGGTGGGTATCTGGGGTTAAACCTGCAGAAAACCTAACTGTAGCCTTTGTCTGTCCTTTACATTAAAATCATCTTTCTCTCTCTTTTTTTCCTGCTTCCTCCCCTGCCTCGTCCTCCCCCTCTTCCAGCAATGTGGACACCAAAGAGCTGTGCGGTGAGTGCGGTCCCTCTCTTGGGGCAAAAGCAATCGTTACGTGCACGTGCGCTTTCGAAGGATGCATGAAACCCATTACAAAGCTGGCGGGGCCATGGTGGCTGTGGAGCTGCGGGGGGTGGGGGGTGAGTCTCCTCACTTCTGCTGCTTCACCCCTTATTCCACCGGAAAACTGGCAAAACTTTTCTTCATTTTCTTGCAACACAAACGGGGTCAGAGCTGAGTGGAGCACCTGGCTCCCGTTCAGTAACAAGCTGGAGTCTAATTTCTGGCAACGTCATGGCTTCCAGCTCTGCTCTGAAGTTCGGTAAACCAGTATCCCTCTGCAATACCATAATGTGTTTCTCCTTAGGCAAGCCTTCGTGTTGCCCAGCAGGCTGCCTAAGGTGTACACCACCTCTGCTGCACCTCCCACGGCTTGCAGGAATCAAAACCTGAAAAGAAAATCTCTGATAATGTTTTGTCCCACACCTTGACCAGAAAGGGAATATTTCCTACCGGGAAGGGCTTTGCCTCGATGGGAGGTGACTCGTGCACGGGGCTCCTGCTGCTCACTTGGGTGTATTTTTCCATGGACACTTGGTATTGGGAAATGTTTCCTGCGCTCCAGCTTTTTGGGAGGAGATGGGGAGACAGAGGTGTGTGGCCTTGCAGAGGGCTCATCCATCTCTTCTCCTCCCCTCCCGTGCCGGGATGCAGAAGACCACATAAAGCAACCTCGGCAGGTCTTCACCATTTACCTTCATCACTTTGCCACTAACTGCAGCCTTCAGAGGTCGGGCTGAGAGCAGGTTGCGCAGCCAGAAAGGCGCTTGCCGGGGCACCTGTGCCAGCACCAGGCAGTTACTCGTTATTCCCGATACTTTTAAGACCTCTCCGTCCATCGCAGCCTGCGAGTCTGCCTGCACCAGGACATTGCCTAGGGTTTCTCTCCTCCTGGTGTACTTAACCCCGACCCCCACCCTGCCTTTCTCACCGCCCGCAGCACCCCACAGGATTTTGAGCATTGAAGCCTGCAGCAAAGGCAGCAACCTTTCAGCTGCTTGTTGTTGCTTTTGTATGCACGAAATGAAGCCTTTCATAAAATCCTTTTAGTTTGCTGATGATACGATGGGCTTTTTCCCATCACTCCTTTCTCATTGTGTTAGGTCTCCTTGCCAGCTGACCCAAGAAACCAAAACCCCACAGCTTGTACCGTCAACTTTCCCAGGAAATACAGGGGTAGTAACGCCGTTGCTTGGCCCCACCCTGCTTTCTCCATCAATCTGCTAAAATCAGAAAAATCACACGGCTGTCACCCAGCGTGATCCCACCTCGCTGCCTCTCCCAGGGGTGAAGCTGCCAGGAGGGAGACAAACCCATCACCTCCTGTGGGAAGCCGGAGGAAGGATTGATCAGCGCAAAATCCTGCCTAGATCCATTATCTGCTGAATACCTGCCCTTGCCTGCAGTTTCTTATTCACTTGCTACTCTTCTAAGTATTAGTTTAAACATAAAACCTCATTTTTGGCAAAATGGAAGCTGTGGTCTCCCTCTTGAAATGGGTTGTGTGTTGTAAGATGTTGAGAGCTCTTAAAAGGGATTTCTTGAGCCCTGCAGCTTATATGAGAAATTTGATGATATGGCTTAATTTGTATCAGGTAGCATCTTATAAAGTTCTGGGTTTTTTTTTCCTGCCAACGAATGCAACAGTCACCAGCACCTAGACTGACTTAAACACGGTTGTGTAGCTCCTTACCCCCAGAGGAGCTTCCAGTCATAGCTGGGAGCACTTAATACGCCCAGAAAATGCGCGTGCAGCTACCAAATTGTACCTGCTGTCTTTCAGTTTAAGTGAAACACAGACACTGCATGCAATGGTACAAGCTGTCCAGTGAACTGAGGTGTATTCTACAAACAGGAGATGCACACTGACCCATTGCAGACTACCAGGGTGGTGGGTGACGGCTTTGCTGGGGACGGGTGGGCGGGGGGCACTCACCTCCTCCCACACCAGCCCCAGGCTGCAGTGATGCTCATCTCCTGCGCATTGATCCCATTGCTCTCTGCAGACGTGTAGGAACCATGAGCAAGAACCGTGTAGGACAGGAAGAGCTGATCTCGGATGTTCACATGAATAAATAAGGCTAAAACAGTAGAACTGAACACTTTGGTTAAGTCAACGCCGTTTTCCTCCCAGGTGCTCCTTGGTCGGGCTCGAGGGCTGTGCTCTGCCCACAGCAGCTCATTTCTCCTGAAATGTACGGGTCCAGCTTTTTATTTCAGGACTTACAAAAAGCCTTTACCTTTAAGATCTGCTCAGTTTTTCTTTCCCAAATAAAGTAATAAGAATAACACAAATAAACACGCTGCAGTGAGACTAAGCTGTTTGGCTTATCGTGGAACAGCGAATAGCTGCTGTCAATCATGCTGTGACATTCCAGTTTCTGCCAAAATCTTCTTCCCCTTGGATATGTTCTCAGGCTGTAAATAGCTATAGGCACTTCTAATTAAGCCAAGAGAACATAATTAGTGGGATTGTTTCCTGGAGTTTATGTCTTGTTGCATTCCACAGAGATGAAGCTTCGTGTCTTAGCACTAAGGAACAGCACCGGTGGCTTTTAAGGAACAGCTTTTAGCTGTAGTCTGTGTTAATCACCCAGAAACCGGGTAACTTCACATCTACATGGCAAACTCACTGCACGCCTCGCCACCGCACTTCACTTCTCCCTGTTTCCGTTGTGAACAGCAAATTTCAGGACTCCATAGCTCATGCATGAAACTGCACCGGGGCTCATACGTGTCATGGAGCCGTCAGCTGCATGGGGACACACCGATTTTGGCTGTATTTTGCACGAGTGAAGAGTGGCTGGGATTGCATCTGGCCGCTGCCGGAGCTGCGGTGCAGCCTGGCGCGGGTCACCCCTGCCGTAGGAGGGATGAGGATGGCACGGAGAAAGTGTGAACTCCCTCTTTGGGGAGGGCTTTTGGGCCCAGCTTGCAGCTCCGTGCTCTTCTTTTCGCGGCATATTTTGCTCTCAGAGGCCTGTGCAACCTGTGATTGTGGGCTGAGGTGCACATGTGACGGGAACGTAGGGAAAGATGTAAGGCCAGTCTCAGTTCGTATAAATTGGGGTGAACCTGGCAGGTATTTGGATGCTTTGAGTGGTAAAGAGTGTCAAGGGAATGGAAAGGGGATTTCTTTTGAGACTTCTCCCTCCATGTTGGCAATAGGAGGGAGGGAGCCAAGATACGGTCAAATGCAGAAGTGGGCATGGAAATAAAGCACCTGCTAAGTTATTTTCAATGGGAGCTACTGTGCCTTACATCTGTTTTTTACAATGGTAATTCATGGGAATTGCACCACTTCCCACCCCTGCAGGACAAGCTGTGACTTTGGTTCAGGACATACCTGAAAGCACCCTCTCAGGTTTTTCTTTCCACCGATAAATAGACCTTGCTGTGTCACGTAGCCTTGAAGCGTTGTTACATCAGCAGTTCCCATCATGTCCCTCTTGGTTTTCCCAGACTATTTTGCTGATCATATGGGAGACTACGAAGACGTCTTGGCCTCACTGGAGACGCTGAACCTGTCCATCCTGAAGGCGATGGACTACACCAAACGGGTGAGTCCTTCTTACTGCGCCTTGTGCTCCACGGGCTCGGAGCAAGCGGTGCAACTGCTAACAGAGCATCTAAATCCCGAGGTCTTCATCCTATTCAGCAGTGTTGTCTCCTCGTGCCGTTGCATTTGTACGGTAAGTGGATCATCGCAGCAACAGGACGACAGTAGATATTTTTGTGTTGACAGCAAATGAGTCTTGAAAACCTTGGCCAGATTGTGAACCAAGGTGCCGATGTCATGTGCAGTAGATGGTGGCATAGAGGCTTTGTGGCAGAGCACTGTACCTTATCCTTCCAGCACCCTTCCTAAGTCTGACAGGCGGTCTTGGCTGTGCCATGGCTTACGCTCTGCATTGCCTGAAGCTCGAAGGTGCTCCAGTTGTCTTCAGACAACATGGCCCGTGGGTCTCTTGGGTGGGATTTTGAATGCATGAGTTCTTGTTAGCATCATTACGAGTGCTTTTGGAAACACCGTGTTATAAAGCTGCTGTTAAATACAGCTTGTGTGTTGGAAGGCATCCTGACTTCCAGAAATAGTGTCGTTCATTTGCACAGCTGCTGTGTTAGGAACTAGAGGGCTGTGTATTTGAAGGACTACAGGGGAAATGTTCCATTTTATATGTGCAGGGTACCTCCAGCTTCTTAAAAAAATCCACCATGTACCTTAGTGATAGTAATGGACTACTAGACAGTGACACTGATCAAGAAACATATTAAAGTTTACTTACAAATACCTAGAAAATCTGAGCTGATGTACCAAATAAACCTTCCTGCTGAGAGGTGCACCGTTCATTTGGCGTCTCACCAGGGGGAGAGAAGTGTTTATAGAGCTCTTGTTCCTTTGAAACCATTTCCCTGCCCTTTCCATACCACTTAATAAAGCAACTGGGCTGTATTGGTGATATTTATTACCTCAGAATAATCAATCCTTCTCCCACTTCTACCTTCAACTGTATTTGCATCATTCTTTTGTGCCACGACAAGAGAAAAGTAGTCTTCCTCTTCAGTGGTGAGCAGTAATGTGGTGCACTGAGGACTGAGCCAAGGAGGGAGGTTTTGCTTTTCCCAAGCACCTGTAAGGGCTTCCCGATTCAACTCCAGTGCTCCTCTGATTAATCCAAATTGAAATCTCCCTTGCGTTTATCTTTGAAGCTAAAGGAGAAACTCAAATTGCTCCACACTAAAGATTTGGTAGCGATAAGAAGTTTTAGGAGTTAAAATGGGAAATTTCTCTCCCCCCTGGTTGCTGAGTAAAGAGCCTGATTTCCTTGCTTTATCCAAATCCATCCTTTTGAATGTTTGTGAGGAGGGCAGCATGGAAAGTGAAGCCACGTACTTCACACGTTGATGTTTTGCCACAATAAACTAAAGGCAAAAGGCTTTGGCCAAGCACTGATCTGCCTGAAGGGTTTGTGAATTTTTTATCAACATTATGAGAGGGTAAAAAAAATCGGGACAACAGTAATAGTTCATTTTTTTCTAATTAAGTTACTAAGTCTGTTCATGCCTCATTTATAGTCATTATTAGCAAATTTTCTGGCAGTCAAATTTGCTAACTATGTATTTTAAATAGATGTTAACATGCTAATAGATATCTCAGTAATTCACTCCAACTTGCTATTCGTGATGGCTTCCACCATTGCTTTTCGAATGTGAGGTTGATATATATAACTAATTCCTCCCAGTATTTTGCAAGAGGAAGATGGCTTATTCCCTGTTTATAAATTAAGCATCTGAGCATGTGGGTATTGCCTTGCATAAGAAATCTGCAGCAGAAGCAGGATGGTTATTCATAATCCCAAACCACTGCCTTCATAAGAGCATCTTTCTCCCACCTTGATTCAGCAACTTGTGGCAGGATTCACCTGCCTTAATTGCAACGGGCAAAGGTTATTTACCTAAACCTGAGCTAGTCACCTCCATCAGGATTTTGTGGAGGGAACCGGGGAGATCCAGAGCGCTGGAGGCATCTTCCTCCTGTGACGCTGAAGGATCAGAGCATTCTTCATCTCAAATGCAGACATTTCCCTTCTAGATGCCTAAAGCCAGACGAGAGAGTGCCGCCCCAGCATCCCCTCATCACCCCCATTTTAGCAGCCCATGGGGTGTGTTGCTCTTCGCCGCCTGGCAGACTTTTGGCAAGCGAGCAAACGGAGCAAGACTCCTTCACAGAGAGGAGCTGGCAAAGAAGTATTTCATGAAAAACATCGCTCCCTGCCGTGATTTTGTGAACAAAGTGGTACAAACCTCATCAATGAATTATTCAAACGCAGGCGCTTTGTTCAAGTAAAGAACTGAAGGAAAAAAAAAACCCAACCAGAAAATAAGCTGTTATAGGTGATAGAGAAATTCATCTCCGGTGTTCAGATAGGACAGACTTCCAGGCAGCATCAGGAGCTTTTCCCAAGTGCAAACCATTAGTGCTTTTTTTTGAGATGTGAGATTTTTTCACTATATGTTTTCCCTAAAAAAAAAAAAAGTAGTTGTTTACTAGACTTTCTGGTTTTAGTGTCAGGATTGCCAAAACAGAATGTCAGAAGAAGGCTTCTCACGGTCCGAACCGATAAAACAGTCCGGCTGAGGTCTTCTCACCAGGTTCCAGCCCATGTGTGTTCCCATACCCCAGCCTGGAGGACGTCATGGGGTGCTTTATTTCCTCCAGGGCTGGGACCACACCTACAGGATAAGGCTTCAGCCACAGGGAGAAGATCCATCCAAGGATTGCAAAAGCCAGTGTGAGCTCCCACTTTTCTGATGGGTCCCCCCCATAAAGGTCTCCTTCTGCTCCATCTCCTCCACGTGTGATGCAGTAACCAAGGGCCCCGTGCCGATGTCAGGATGTCTAGGAGATATGTACATATAACTATATTTTTAGAAACACTGGATGAGGGAAAAGACTGCCGAAGCAGCAGGTTTTGGTAGGAGCTAAGTGTGATTTTGTGCCCCCGATGCTCGAGCCTGTTGCTGTCTCTGCAGCTTTTCCCCGAGGCCGGATCCTGCGAAGGGCTTGGTGCTGATGCTGAGCACTGTGACTTGTGAGCAAGCTCCTTTGCTTGTGCGATGCTCCTGCTTCTCCGTATTAAAATGAGCATTTCATCAGCTGGAGAAAACCATTGCTCATTCGAGAGTGTTCCTTATTCTCTCCCTTTCCCCTCTGTTAAAAAAAGTATTCGGTGGAAATGCTAAATGAAGCCTTCTTCTGTGTTGGCTTTCTGACGAGAGGTGCCTGCTGACGAGAGGGGCTGGATAGCCGTGGTATTTAATTGCTGTTTATATTTCTCACCTTAAAAGACAACTGATTATTTCTTGCTCATAAAAAGAGAAAGCAGCAATTATCTCGTGCTAGAGGAGCTCATAAAGTATCAGCAGTAATTAGATTCAGTAGTGGAAGGTCTCATAGAGCAAAACAAAATCTGTCATTGTAATTATTTTCCAATATGGTGATGTCCGTGCCGTGTTGAAATGACTGCAAATGGCGATGGGAAATGCAAAGTTAAACTGGAGAGAAAGGAAATGAATTTTCAGGATCTAAAAAAAGCTGACGGCAAGAGGTGTTCTTCTATAATTCTCATTTACTGTTTTATAGTGCAGTCAGCAAATATCAAAACCAACGTGACGGGGAAGGACATGGTTTGTGTGCCTGGTGTCGACGGGTGTGTGGGGTATGGTGGGAGCTGGGGGACCGGAGCCAGGTGGATGCTGTCCCTCCCGTTCAGTTACTGACCCCCCTGCCTCGGGCTGCCCGCTGTAGGACGGTGCCTACCCGATGCCTCCACCATCATAGAATCATAGAATCATAGAATCATTGAGGTTGGAAAAGACCT